ATCCCTTGGCTCTGTCTTTTAAACTCAGAGGAATCATTTTGAGCCAAGATAAATAAGTTAGATGCTCTATTCCATTTAAGTAGAACATTTCAAGAATCTAAAGATCTAAAGTTTGTTGAAGTCCTATCAGAAATGTTCTTTTGTTTATTTACTATTAGAAAATGCAAAGGTATGTGGACATTGATGCCAGGGATCATTATATATTAAAGCAGTGGTTCTCTAAGTGCTGCACCAAGACTAACAGCATCAGAATCACCCAGGAACTTGTCAGGAACTCTGGGGGTGAGGCCTAAAATCTGTATTTTCACAAGCTCCTCCCAGGAAATTCTGATGGAAACCACTATTTAAAGATACTTTTTTAAAGTTAGGATTTAATTGCATTGAGGTGTTTGCTATTACCTGTGATTTCTTTGTAAAAGTTCTGAAATTGAGACATCACTAAACAAGTCTGAACAATTCTTTTTTTTTTTTCCCCATTTATTTATTTTATTGCGTTTTAGGTTTTGGAGTACATGTGAAGAACATGCAAGATTGTTGCATAGGTACACACGTGGCAGTGTGATTTGCTGCCTTCCTCCCCATCACCTACATCTGGCATCTCTCCCCTTGCTGTCTCTCCCCAGCTCCCTACCCCCCACCGTACCTCCCCTATTTCCCCCCAAATGACCCCAGTGTGTAGTGCTCCCCTCCCTGTGTCCATGTGTTCTCATTTGAACAATTCTTTATATGATGTATTTCTAAAGTATACCCTTTAAAGAAATCTATGGATAAGATAAAAAAGTCTTCAGAGTCATATATTTTCTCCTTATTCTTAAAACTGTTCAATGTGGTGCTTATTAGATACTTTTCATTTGCCCATAAACATTTCTTGACCAAATGCCCATCAATGATAGACTGGACAAAGAAAATGTGGCACATGTACACCATGGAATACTATGCAGCCATAAAAAAACGACGAGTTCATGTCCTTTGTAGAGACATGGATGAATCTAGAAACCATCATTCTCAGCAAACTGACACAAGAACAGAAAACCAAACCCCACATATTTTCGCTCATAGGTGGGTGATAAACAATGAGAGCACTTGGGCACAGGGAAGGGAACAACATTCACTGGGCCAGGTGCGGGGGTGGAGAGGAAGGGAGGATGGGGAGGGATAACACTGGGAGAAATGCCTGATGTCAGCAATGGTAGGGGGAAAGGCGGGCGGGGAGATAGCAAACCACCATGGCATATATGTACCTATGCAACAATCCTGCAGGATGAAGGATGTGCACATGTAACCCAGAGCCCAAAGTACAAAAAAAATCAATTAATTAAACAAAAAAGTTAGTGGTTTGTTATAAGACTAAACATACTCTTATTGTACAATATAGCAATTACATTCCTTAATACTGACCCAAAGTTGAAAAATTAGGTCCACATAAAAACGTGCACACAGATACTTATAGAAGGTTTATTCATAATTTCCAAAATTTGGAAGCAACCAACATGTTATTCAGTAGGTGAATGGATAAATTCAGATAAACGCAGACAATAGAATATGATATAGAGCTAAAAAGAAATGAGCCATCAAGCCACAGAAAACCATGGAGGAATCTTAAATGCGTATTACTAAAGAGGACAATCTGAAAAGGCCATATACTGTATGACTTCAACTATATGAATTTCCAGGAACAGCGAAACCATGGAGACAGTAAAAAGATTAGTGGTTTCCAGGATTTGTGGGGAGAGAGAGATGAGAGCACAAAGGATTTTAGGGCAGTGACACCACCCTGTATGATAGTGTGAGGATGGATACTCATTATACATTTGCCCAAACCCACAGAATGTACACCACCAAGTGAACCCTAATGTAAACTATGGAGACTGGGTGATAATGCTGGTTCCATGCAAGGTCCACCTGGTGGGAATGTTGATAATGAGGAGGCTGTGCATGTGTGAGGGAAAGGGGTATATGGGAAATCGCTGTACCTTCAGCTCAGTTTTATTGTGAACCTAAAACTGCTTTAAAAAAATTAAGTCTACTAAAAAAACAAAAAACCTAGAAAAAAATGCAAAATGACATGCTTTTGTGTGTGTTCTGTCTCATTCATCAAATTTGATATTTCTTTGATAATTTTCTTTTTTCTCCATTGACTCTTGTTTAAATGCTTCTTAGCTGGTTATTACTCATCCTGGAATCCTGGAATCAACCTGTATATGTCTTATCTTTGCTCTCCAATTTTTCCATTTCATTGTTTTCTAGGTATACTTTTGGAAAGAGCTCTTCAACTTTATCACTCTATTAGCTTTAAAGTGTTTCTGATATCACATTTAGAAAATATATTTATAAAATCTCTTCTGTTAATTTGTTCATTTTTTATAAGTATTAGCACTGCCTTTTTGTTTCATAGATGTAATGTCTTTTCTTATCTCTCTGATGACCGTATATATTTCTTCTTCTACCCTCTGCTTTGCCCTTGTTTAAGTTGCTTCTTCTGATTTCTTTTTTTTTTTTTTTTAAGTTGGAGGCTTTTCTGAATGTTATTTATATCTGTTTACTGATATTTAAGAAAGAAATGTGCACACATATCTACACACAAAAGTGACTTGAATTCTTTTTGTGTGGACCTGGTTTATTTATGAGTTAGTTTAATTATAGGATTAACAGGAAAGGGCCTGAGTCTGTGCATTGGAAAACTCAAAATGTCAGTTAACTGTGGGAGTTTTCCCCTCTTGGGCCAGTCACTGCAGTGGGATCCTCCAGTGTTCTGCTTATGGCATAACCCTGGCTATGAGTACTTTAGAGGTCAGGGAGGAAAGGGCTTGGAAATCCCACTTTCCTCTGTGAAACTGTTAATAAACCTCCTTTTTCAGCACAGTTGCCTCCTTTCCCTTCTGTGCCTTGTGTCACCCAGTCGGGTATCTCTCTGATTAAATTTCTTGGTAAAACAAAGCTCCCATCATGCACCTGACGCCAAAGCTGGGGGATGAGTACTTGTCGATCTGCCCCAGGTGGAGCAGTGTACCTGCTCCTCATTGAGACCAGTTCCCAGCCTAATCACTTAACTCACCTTTCACAGGACCTGAAGCCTCAAATCACTAAGCCTCTCCGGGGCTGGTGCTTGTCGGCTTCTCCCCCAGCAGGGAGCTTTCTCTCATTTACTCAGTAAGTTACCAAATTCATACACTTTACATCTTTTTAATTCTTATATTTTGCTATCTTTTTGGTGTTCTTTAGCCTTCTGTGATTCACTCATTCATGCATTCATTTATTCATTCAACAAACATTTTCTGAACACTTCCTTTGTGTCTGGCACTGTGTCAGATGAAGTGAATGTAGTCAGCTAAGACGCAGAAATCTTTTTCCTCATGTGCCTTACATTTTAAGAGCAAGAGCCAGATAACAGACAAACAAATAACATATACAGTATGTCAGATAGTGGTCAGTACCACATGTGGGAAAAAATAATGTGGGGAAGAGGTAAAGAACATGCTGGTCAGGGAAGCCCCACAGATAAGGTGATATTTGAGCCGACAGCTGGCAAAAGTTTAGAAATAGACCTTAGAGCAGAAAGTGACGGCAGTCCCGCAGCTCTGGGCTGATGACCTGAGCATGGCTAAGGTGCTTTTCCTCTGCTCCCATAGCATCTTGAACATGCTTTAATTATAACACTTAGCACCATGTGCTATTGCGATTATTAAATTACATGTCTGTTTCTATGACTTGGCAGAGCCGCTCAACATCTGGAACTTTGTCTTATTAACGATTATGTTCCCAGAAACTAATACATCCTATTAGATGTTCAGTGCATAATTGTTGATTCAATGAATGAGAAATGAAAAGTTCAAGTAAATTGCTGACCAGAATCAAGCCCTCAGGCTCTGAATTTAGGGTTAGGAGTCCGGGTTAGGAAGAAAGACTGTATATATGCTTTTGAGGCAAGCAGTTAGTGAGGGAATGAGGCACGATTACTTGCAGGTAGCTACAAGCAATAAAAATGGGGTCAAAAACTTTAGAGCAGAGGGACACGCCCCCTAGGAGACAGGAACTGTTACAACCGGCTGTGACAATGAACAGATTGCAGACTTCCTCCTTAGGCACGGATGAGAACGGAAGAAACTGGCCGCAACTGGTTAAATCCAAGATGGTTGAAAACTTGGTTAACTGCTGACCCTTAGCTTCATTATGCCCTTTAGTATCATAAAATTTCCATAACGAAACTTCCCACTCCCATCATGCACCTGACACCATAACAGTTCCGGATTAACTATCTTTAGTCAAGAAAACGGTGGCACCCTGATTCTGAGAATTGCTCACCCATTTTCCAGAAAACGCCTCCCCTTATTATAGAGTACTTTCTACCTTCATTGTGCTTATCCCTATATTATATGAACCGCATTGCCTGTGACTCATTCTTTGAGTGCCCACTCTCTTCCCTTGGGTGTATCCTTGCTTTTGCTCCTCGATAAAATGTCTACACTTTCACTTTGGTCTCATTTTCAGATTCTTTTGTGCTTTGATGACAAGAACCTGCACTGGCCTACTGGCAACACTTTTAGATGCCCTCCGAGATCAGTGTGCTTGTTTATACCAGAAAAATGTTATCTGGGCCAGACAACGGTGCACTTGCCTGTAATCTCAGCATTTTGGGAGGCCAAGGCAGGCAGATCACAAGATCAAGAGATCGAGACCATCCTGGCCAACATGGTGAAACCACGTCTCTACTAAAAATACAAACATTAGCTGGGTATGTCTACAGTCCCAGTTACTCGGGAGGCTGAGGCAGGCGAATCGCTTGAACCCGGGTGGTGGAGGTTGCAGTGAGCCAAGATCACGTCACTGCACTCCAGCCTGGCAACAGAGCAAGACTCCGTCTCAAAAGAAAATAAAAAAATAAAAATAAAAATAAAATGTCATCTGCTAGGCCCCTTAGTCACAAAGTGTACCAATAAGATCTGTGGTCATTTTTCACAGCTTTCTGACCACTTTCAGTTTCCAATCAGTGTAACTATGTGGGATGACTCAGCTACAAGTTGCTACAAGAATTTTCTTCTGTGGTTGCTAGAAAGAACCCAAACCAGCTCAGCCAATTAGAGCTCCAGTTGTCTCTCCAACCCGCGCTGGCCCTGGGAGTGAAAGGAAGTGTTTATTTGGTGTATGTGTGAAGCTGTTCAGAAGTTTCAGAGCCTTTGTCGCTTTGAAAGTCACCTAGATGATTTGGGCATGGTCTCCTAAGCCCCCTGCTAGTTAAGCTCTCTGAAGAGAAGGTGGCAGACCCGGTTTGCTGATCACACCAGGGATCAGGAGGTAAGCACCATGGAGGTACTGGGTTAGAGACAAGAGACTGAACCCTTTCTCCACCAAGAAAGACAGCTGAGGAAAGACCAGCCATGTTATGCACCCCTTTGAGAACTTGAACCTGCGAAAATGGACACCAGCTGTGAAAGGATGGGTTCGTTTGTTTTATTCACTTTAGCCATGTTCTCTGGTGTCTTTGAGCTGGTGTTCCTGAAGCTTCAGCTTCCATTGGGGTTTATCTATCAGCCTATTTGTAAGACTGATCTTTATGTCACATTCCCCTGGCTGGGCCCCGTACCTTCCCAGGCAGTGAACATTTTACTTGACGGAAGCCCCACATAGCACTTGGGAATTTCCCAGTAATGAATGCCTCTTCTCACACAGTGCAGGGCTTCATTTCCTGACCCCACAACCACCCACGAAGCCCCTGGTCTAGCCCCAGTGGGATGCTCTGGTGTGATTTCAACATCACTCTAGTTCTTCATCATCTGTTGCCCTGGTTTGCTCATCCCCGCCCAGAAAGCCTTTTCATTCCAACCTTGCACTTCTACCTCCCCTGTGTCCTCTTAATCTATTCTTTGATAAAACATTTTAAATAAGATATTCTCCTACCTTTTAATCTCAGTCTCAAATCCAGATTGTGACCTGCCATCCCATATGAAACTATTATTTGTCACCAAATATCATGACTAGATATCTACTACTATCACTTTTTTTTTTTTTTTTTTTTTGAGACAGAGTCTCGCTCTGTTGCCAGGCGCCAGGCTGGAGTACAGTGCCGTGATCTCGGCTCACTGCAACCTCCACCTCCTGGGTTCAAACAATTCTCCTGCCTCAGCCTCCCAAGTAGCTGGGACTACAGATGTGCGTCACCATGCCCAGCTAATTTTTATATTTAGTACAGATGGGGTTTCACTATTTTGGTCGGGATGGTCTCGATCTCTTGACCTCGTGATCTGCCTGCCTCGGCCTCCCAAAGTGCTGGGATTATGGGCATGAGCCACCACGCCCGGCATATTATCACTATTTATACTGATACCTAACCCTGGCCGAATGATTACTCTTTGCAAGGCTCTGTTGTAAGTTCGTGACTTACTTGAATGGAATTATCTTATTCCAACATTAATTATTTAATGTTGATAACATTTCCCCCATTTTGCAGTTAAGGATATGGACACTTTAGAAGGGTATAATTTACCAGATGTCACAAAACAGCTAGCAAATAGCAGAACCAGGATTGAAGTCTGTGTCTGGCAGAATAATTGTCAGCCTTGGGCAGCAAGTTAACACAGTTTGAAATCCCTGCAGTCCTGGCATGAAGAAGGTAGGCACTGTTCCTCCATTGCAGATGGCGCATAGGGGAAATGCTGGGTGGGCTTGCTTTGTTTCATAAGGTGTGTCTCAAAGAGGAATCATTCTCAGGTTTTACTTGCTTAAGAAATTTTCTTTTTGTTCTTCTATATCACCAATTTTTCCTCTCTCCCAGTTCATTCTCATCAGCATGAAATATTCTGTATTTTCTCCAATGTTAGAAAAGCAAGCGAACAAAAAGAAAACACTCTGTCAACTCCACCTCTCCTTCCAGCACTTACCACATTTCTCTGGACCTTTCTACCAAAAAGGTTGGCTTTACTTGCATGCTCCCTTTTTTGTCCACCCTTTTTCTGACCACTCAATTTACATGAGCAATTTTACTCCTCATTCCTGGCACCCCTCTGCTTTGCCTGTTTTGTTTTCCTTCACAGCACTTCTCAATCTTAATATATTTTGTATACTCAAGTTAAAATTTCTTCTGCACCATTCTCTATCAAAACTGCTATTATCAGTGTCACCAGTAACCCCTGATTGCTAATTCTATGTCTTTTCTGCAGTCCTCATCCTACCTAGCACGTTAGAAACACGTGGCACATTTTATCTTTTTATCTCCTTAAGAATTACCTTCTCAGCACCTTAACCACTGTTCTTCCTAGTTTTCTACCTGTCTCACCACTCATGCCCGTTCAGTCACCATGGCTGGTCAGTCTTCATCCCTCACACTGTCGATAATGGAATGGCCAGGGGCAAACTTTGGACTTCCTCTTTCTGCACTTCCTCCCTTGGTGAAATCGTTTATCTTTATGGCTTTTACTGTTACTACCTGTGTGCTAGTGATTCCCAAGCTCACATCTCTAGACTAGCACTCTCCTAAACTCCACCTGGGTATCTGAACTATGCACTTGAAGCTCTAGCAGGCATCACCAACTTAATATGTCCAAGTCCACATTCCTAACCTTCTCCCAGCACATTCCAAATATGCTCCTCTGACATCCACTTTGCAATATCAGTAGCATTTTGACTTTTTTCAGGTGTTTAGTCAAAAAAATCTAAGTATGTTTCTTTTCTTTTTTTTTTTTTTTTTTTTTTGAGATGGAGTTTTGCTCTTGTTGCCCAGGCTGGAGTGCAGTGGCACAATCTTGGCTCACTACAGCCTCCGCCTCCCAGGTTCAAGTGATTCTCCTGCCTCAGCCTCCCGAGTAGCTGGGATTACAGGCATGCACCACCATGCCTGGCTAATTTTGTATTTTAAGTAAAGATGGGGTTTCGCCATGTTGGACAGGCTGGTTTTGAACTCCTGACCTCAAGTGATCCACCCGCCTCGGCCTCCCAAAGTGCTGAGATTATAGCGGCGTGAGCCACCGCGCCCAGCCTAAGTGTGTTTCTTAGCTTCTCTTCGGCACTCCAGGTCCAGTCTATTAGGAAATTCTATTTCCTGTGAATTAAATGCATGTAATTTGAGTACAATCGCTTCTTCTATCTTCACTGCGACTCTGCTAGATGGATGTCTTCATCTCTCCCCTGCATTATTACAATAGCCTAACTGACCTTCTTGTTTTTCACCTTGTTGCAAAATATAAGTCATATCCTGCACTTCTCTGCTCAAAACTCTCTTATTTCATTCAAAGTTAGAGCAAGTTGCTGATGAGGCACTTCACAGTCGGGTCTAATTCTGTCTGACTTGACCTCCATCTTCTCTTTCCTCTTGCTCCTCCTCTCCAACCACACTGATTTTTCCAACTTAATTGAATGTTCTGATCACACCCTTGTCTGAGGCCCCCTTGCACTTTCTGTTCTCTCTTCCTAGAATCCCATTTGCTCCGATAAGCTGCCAGGCTTGCTTCCTTACTTTCTCATCCTCTGATTAAATGTTACCTTTTCAATTTCTGATCTTCACCTTTTCTGACCACTCTATTTAAATTAGCAATTTCATGCCCCATTTCTGGCACTCCTGCCTGCTCCTGCTTTATTTTCCTCCATAGTGCATGTGCACACACACACATAGTATTTATATGATATATATAAAATATACACAAGAGATTATATATACATATGTTTATTCTACTAGCAAAGTACCACTCACTTGTGCAAACCAAGGTCAATTCAGTAGGGAGAAAGGTTAAGAAGGGAGAAGAAAATGTCTGCATGGTTAGCATGCCTGTCACTCAAGCTATGGAAGTAAGAGAGAAGCCATGAGAGTAGACTTTTTTTTTTGTCCTCTTCTCATTTGTTTATCCACAGTATCAGTTACATATAAAGTGTTAAATATTTGTTAAATTAAAAATGAATACCCAGATTTATCTTCCAAGCTTGCAAATGAGAGAGAGAGAGAGAGAGAGAGAGAGAGAGTGTGTGTGTGTGTGTATGTGTGTGTCCCCAATAAGAGAATATTATTTAGCTGAATTGCCAGAGCCGAAGATTGATGTTAACCAGCAAACTCGAGTCCCCTTGGCTATTTCATTTCCTGTAATGCTGAACCCCACCAAATTTCTAAGCCAGTGGTGGCTATAGCAATGGAGTAACTATAAGCTAGCTCATGAGTCAGAGACTTGAATTTGTCTTGCTGCCACAGATCCAATAACATGCATGCTAGCTGTGCAGACATTTTCTCCTCCTTTCCCACCCTTCTCCCTGTTGAATTGACTTGGTTTAAAGAACTGAGTGCCCGTCTCTGCTTCCATACTGTACATTTCACCCTTCTGAGAATGGAATTCCCTAATCCTTAACTTGCTTGGCAGAGCCTTTGATTCTAACCCACTCACGGATTTCAATTCTCTGGATTTTTATTCTCCTATTAAAGGTCAGATGGCTTGAAGTGTGGCCCAGGTTTTCACTTGACTATGAGTTCTACATCCTGCTTAGAATCTTGGTTTAAATTATTATCTTCACCTGCCCTATTGGATTGTCTCAGTCACTGACATATTTTAAACCAAACACCTTTGGCCATGTCCCTTTGAATATCGTGTTCTGGAATTCAGACTTCCTCCAGAAGAACAGTCAGGGTTATTGTGAAGCTAAAAAACAGATGGCAGGCTGGGCTTGGTGGCTCATGCCTGTAATCCCAGCACTTTGGGAGACCGAGGCAGGCAAATCACAAGGTCCAGAGACATAAAACCATCCTGGCTAATACAGTGAAACCCCGCCTCTACTAAAAATTCAAAAAATTAGCTCGGCGTGGTAGTGGGTGCCTGTAATCCCACTACTCGGGAGGCTGAGGCAGAAGAATTGCTTGAACCCAGGAGGCAGAGGTTGCAGTGAACCAAGATCGCACACTGCACTCCAGCCTGGGCAACAGAGCAAGACTCCATCTCAAAAAAAAAAAAAAAACAACCAGATGACAGAGATGACAGTGAATTGGGGAAACAGGAAATAGGGAACCAGAATAATAGGACAGGTGATCAAAATGAGACTTGGGGGAGGGCATGATGAATTGGGCCAGTAACCAACTGGATACTTAGATACCTCTGTTCACTAGTCCTAATGCATCTTAAGCACAATGTATCAAAACTTCTCCCATGCATACTTCTTAGACTTTGATAAACTTATTTCTCTGTCTTTAGTTTCATGTACAACCTATTTAATTTTCCAGAGTAGAAACCTAAGATAATTAATGGTTTACTCTCTCTTTACCTTCAATTGTTAATCAGTGCCTGTGGGTCTAAGCACTCCTCTTCCTCTGTCATTTGTTTTTACACTCCTTAAGTCCCACGTATATACCCTGTAGACTCAAGATGCAAACATTATAAATATGAGTCATGTCAACAGCAATTTAGATGGGTGCTGGATAATATAGTTCCAGAAGGGAACTCGAGAGAGTACAAAACCCACACATCCTTGTTGGACCGTGCAGAAACCATGAAACTTTTTTTCCCTTGAGGGCAGCATGGCGCAGTAGGAAAGCATTACTTTTGAAATCAAACAGATGCAGGCTAATTCAGGCTCCTCCATTTACTGTCTGTGCATTCTTTTGCAAGTTATACTGTTTCTCTGATTCACAACTTCCTGGTTTGTAAAATGAAGAAAAAGTTATCTACATCAGGGCATTGTTGAATAGATTAGTTGATTGATTTATTCCAGAATAATCATTGAACCCATGCTCTGTGGCATTCTTCTCAATGCTGAAAATGCAGTAAGGAGCAAAAGAGACAAAGATCTTAGACAAAGATCCTTCTACTGAGGATAGTAGAAAAATTAAAAAATAATATGAATAAAGTATCTAGAATAAGTAGTAGGCAGGAAGGTATAAGCGCAAACCATATAAATCTAGCAAGAGATTTTCAAAGCAAAAAGAACAACAAATACAAATATCCTTGAAATGAGAGTGTCCCTAAAAGGGTTCAAGAATGTAATGAGGCCAGTGCGGCTAGATCAGATTGACAAGGAGATCACTAGTCCATAAGTCAGTGACATAGTGGTCTTAGACGGCACTAGTGGACATGTACAGCCAGTGCCTGTTTTAATGACCAATCCTTGTGCCATATAGTTTGTTAAATATATTTTAATACCACTCCTGATCATAGGTCTGATAATGACATAAAGTGTAGAAATTATCTAGCCTAGGGTCCAATACATGGTGAAGTGAATGAACTGCCAAGAGAGAGCAAGTTGATAGCTATAAAAAAATACAATTGTGCTGGGCGCGGTGGCTCACGCCTGTAATCCCAGCACTTTGGGAGGCCGAGGCGGGTGGATCACGAGGTCAAGAGATCGAGACCATCCTGGTCAACATGGTGAAACCCCGTCTCTACTAAAAATACA